AGGCCACACCCCTAGGGAAACTCCCTTTCAACAGACTGGCTGCTAAAAACATAGTCATCTGATCCCATCATGGGAACAACCACACCACAACAGCTCAAACCACACAGAATTGTGGCCCAGCCAAGTTGACACACAGCTCCAACTATCACACAGGGAAAATTAAAATACCTGGGTTCTCCCTATAGTACCCCTCAATGACCAAACCTAGCTGGGTGTCAGGTATTAAGTCTGGGAAACTCAGCACTGCCTCCACACCCAATACAAAGGAGAACAGGGAAAGAAATGGTGGTCTGGGGCAAATGAGCCAAAGACTTACACAAGAGTAAACTGTTGTACAACTTTTCTGTTGTTATTGTTGTTGTTAGGTGCCACTGAGTCAGCTCCAACTCATAGTGACCCTACACACAACAGAACACTGCTCAGTCCTGCACCAGCCTCACAATACTTGCTATACGAGTCCATCACTGCAGCCACTGTGTCAATACATCTTGTTGAGAGCCTTCTCCTTTTTCGCTGACCCTCCACTTTATCAAGCATGATATCCTTCTCCAGGGAATGGTATCTTCTGACAACATGACCAAAGTAGGTGAGACAAAGTCTGGCCCTTCTCATTTCCAAAGAGCATTCCAGCTGCACTTCTTCCAGGACAGATTTCTTAATTCTTTCTGGTACTTTCAGTTTTCTTTGCCAACTTTTCTGTGCTATACTTTCTGCACACAAAGGGCTTCCATGCATGTCATATTTTAAGTACGCAACAGGTGTTTATGAAGTCCAGCAAAATAGGTATGCTTTTCAACCAACAGCTTCAGGAAATATGGACAAAGTTTTCAAGCATCTTGTCGCTTTTGTTAGGTGCCATCAAGTTGGTTCAGACTCCTAGTGACCCTATGTTCAACAGGATGAAACACAGCCCAGTCCTGTACCATCCTCAATTGTTGCTATGCTTGAGCCCCTTACTGCAGCCACTGTGTCAATATATCTCACTGAGGATCTTATCCTTTTACAATGACCCTCTGAGGATAAAGATTTTTGCTTTGTAGGCTTGATTACATACTGCTAACATAAAACTCAAGTATTTTTAGTTAAAATGCCATTTATTTAAAACCTGGCTTCAACATTGTGCTGTAATTAACTTGTTCTCTAAGTTATAGTTCCTGCTGCATCCTGTTATCTAGGACACTGCTACCTATGTCAATAAAGGCTCCTAGGTTGGACTTTAGGAGCTCTGGTGGTGTAGTGCCTAAGACATTTGACTGCTAACCAGAAGGCTGGTGGTTCAAACCCACCAGACACTCCTTGGAAAGAAGATTGGGCAATCTACTTCCTTAGTGATACCGCCTCAGAAACCCAAGGAGGGGTCACCATGAGTCAGATCCAACTTGATGGCAATGAGTTTGGTTTTGGTGGTTTGGGTCAGACTTTAGGACTGGCCCCCTGGGCTTTGAGAAACAGCAATGGAGCCTCCCAAGGATTACCTGACTGCTGGGGACTCACAGGAAACATCCCTTTCTTAATTAACCACTGCCCTATCTAACTTTTAGAAAATTGTTAACTAATCTTGCACGTGTGCTGTCTCTTTCCAATAGTATAAGAACCCCTGATCAAAGCGCTGTGCAGAGCAGGAGTTGCTGGAGTCACTAAAACCACATCCTTCTCTCACTGATGCACCTCTTAAGTAAATTCTCTTTTCCTTGAACTCTGGTGTGGACTACTGGCTGTGCTGCTCGAGTCAGACCCTGGCATTTTTCAGATTACACTTCTGCTTTACCAAGTACAATATCCTTCTCCAGGGACCTGTCCCTTCTGACATCATGACCAAAGTTCAAGAGATGAAGTCGGGTCATTATCACTAAGAAGTACTCCAAATGAACCTCCACTGATATATATTTGTTCATTCTTCTAGCAAGCCATGGTATATTCAATGTTCTTCATCAACAGCACAACTCCAATATATCAATTCTTCTGTGGTCTTCTTTATTCATATGTGCATGAGCCTATTAGAAATATCATGAGTTGCATCAGGTGCACCTTAGTTTTCAAAGTGACACCTTTGCTCGTAAATACTTTAAAGAGGTCTTTTGTAGCAGATTTGCCCAATGTAACACATTGCGTGATTTTCTAACTGCTGCTTCTGTGAGCACTGACTGTGGATCAAAATAAAATGTCATCTTTCACAACTTCAACCATCTCCAATCTTTACTGCACTGGAAGTGAAAGGTGAGCCCACTGGGGCAGACCAGTCCCATCCTAAACGAGAGACACTCTTCAATGAGCTGGCATAATCTGGAACAATAATTCACAACTGGGAAGGATGACAACTCACAGAAAGTATGCCTGAGCTGAGCAGGCCAAGAATAGAACAGGAACACAGAGGGAGTACTAAAGGGTGTGACCTGTGTAATAAGCAAAGGTCAGTATCATCATCAAGAGGCTCTGAGAACTCCTAAACCATGTAGTAGCCACCTCAAGACAAACCAGGAACTAACTGCAATGTGGACCTCGGCTTGTCGGTTCGATGGAAGGGGAAGCCTCTGGTAGTTAGGAGACCTAGACCCAGAGATGTCACAAACAGGGAAGAGCCGAATCTACAAGACAGGACCAACAAATCTTGGATGTAGTGTGCAAAGGAGTCAAGAGTGTCCACAGCTGTGGGCTGAAATCAGAAACACGAGGAGGCTGGTGGGGGGTATTGACATTTTCTTATCACCTCCACTGCCTTCCCAAATAAACCATCTAAGTCCTGAAAATCTGAACTTCTAAAAAATTCAGTCTTTAATTGGGAGATAACTGGAGATTTACATGAAGTTGTAACAAATAATGTAGAGATCTAGTGTGGCCATATAGCTTCCCCCAACAATGTTATGCTATGAGCCGTCCAGTCCGACCGACTCATAGTGACCCCTCCTTGGGTTTCAGAGGCGTTATCTCTATGGAAGTAGATTGCCCAACCTTCCTTCCCAGGAGTGGCTGGTGGGTTTGAACCACCAGCCCTCTGGTTAGCAATCAAGTGCCTTAGGCACTACGCTACCAGAACTCCTAATAGCATCTTGCAAAACAATATTACTATCGGGATTATGACATTTCTGCAGTTAAAAATTAATTCCTATCATCCCAAGACAATCTTAAACGCCCGCATAGCAACACGCATACACACAAACACACACCCCAAACGTTTTAAGGCTCATATACTGTATCCAGACGGTAACAATGCCAACTCATAACAAAGAACCTGGTGAGGAAACAGGAAAGGCAAATCCAGGATGGCTGGCAGAATCTCACAATCAGCAGCCCTGGCATTTTCACCAAGACGCCCAGGCCTGGCCCCTTCCGCCGCACGCGCCCAACCAGCCAATAGCAACCCGAGAACAGAGCCGCTTCCGCCAATTACTCCAGAAAAGACGCGGGGAGGGGCGGAAAACTCCCCGCTCCGCTAAAATGGCGGGTCTCTACCACCAGTTGCAGGTGTACCTGACACAAACCAAATTGGGCGGGTCAGCGGCCGCGGTACCGCTGCTCGCCGAGAACGAGACAGAGGAGCCCGCGGTGGAAAACAGACCAGCAGACGCGTGGCTGGGCCGCGTGACCCTCCCCTGGATGTGGGCGCGGAACCCCACAGAGCCGGCAGCAGCGAGCTCGGAGTGCCTTCCCAGCATGACGGGTGCGCAGCGGCTGGCGATGAGCGGCGTGTGCCTGCTGCTGGCTGCGGTATGCTTCGGCCTGGCAATGCTATACACGCCCCTGCTGCTTCTGCGCGCCCGCAAATTCGCGCTGTTGTGGTCACTGGGCTCGGCGCTGGCGCTGGCCAGCGGCTCGCTGTTCCGGGGCGGTGCGGGGTGCGGGCGGCTGCTGCGTGGCGAGGAGGCGCCGTCCCGGAGCATGCTACTTTACGCCGCCGCGCTAGGCGCCACGCTGTATGCGGCTCTAGGCCTGCGTAGTGCGGCGCTCACGGTGCTAGGCGCCTGCGCGCAGATGACCGCGATGCTCGGGCTGCTGCTCCGGCAGCTCTTTTCGGGCAGTGGCACAGCGCTGCGCCTCGGCCTCGGGCGTCTGGTCCCGGGTGCCGGCCTAGCTAAAGCACTACCTGTGTGAGAGGTCGAAGAAACGAGGAGCCCGTTTTGGAGCCTCTGGCCTGGCCAAGCACTGCGTTGTCCCCAAGAACACCCATTGGCCACGCAGCGACGCACACTCTCCGCAGGCCATGTGCAGAATGAGCGGCCGTTTGTTACTGAAACATGAACACTTAGGGAGCTTCGATTTCAGCACCCAGTGCTCTGGAAACTCAAGATTTTGCCATTGACTTGGTGATATGCTGTGAAATACCTATTACAAGTTGTTTTGCATTCACCGTGGTCTTAGAATGAGCGGAGTTTAAGAAACAAAACTCTTCGGTTTTACTAGCTGGTTTTGTGATTTTCCTCATTTATGTTTTACCTTTTGTCATTTAAAAAAGGCAGTGGCCAATTGTAATAGCTATGAGTCGGGGCCGACTAGACAGCACCTAACAACAACAACAACAACAACGTTAGCTTTTACCCTCCTTCCTGTGTCGTCGTCCCCCCCCTTTTCCTTTGTTTGCTGTATTTAAGACACTACATGGACTGACTCTGGCCGCAACAAAGGGCTCAAGCATAGCAACTATTGTGAAAACGACGCAGTAGCCGGGAGTACTTGTTCTGTTTTACAGAGGGTCGCTGTAAGTCGGAACCCACTCGATGGCACCTATATATTTAAGGCTTGGAAATTATGGGGCTTGGGCAATCTACTTCCGTAGTAATACTGCCTCAGAAACCCAAGGAGGGGTCGCTATGAGTTGGGTCTGGACTCCATGGCACCTAAGAACAACAAGGTGGCTAGGAGCTCTGGTAGCATAGTGCCTAAAGCATCTGATTGCTAACCAGAAGGCTGGTGGGACCACCAGCCACTCCTCAGAACAAAGACTGAGCAAACTACTTCCCTGGAGATACTGCCTTGGAAACCCAAGGAGGGGTCACTGAGTCGAGACTGACTGGATGGCAGTGTTTTGTTTTTTGTTTTTTTAAAGTGGCCTAAGGCATTTGACTGCTAACCAGGATAGCAATTCAAACCCACCAGCTGCTCTGCAGAAGGAAGATGGGACTGTCTACTTACAAAAGGTTGGCACTCGCCCAGAGGCTCCCATAAGAGTTCAGCCTGGAAGGCCCTATGGGATAATTCTACTCTTCTCATGTGGGGTCTCTATGAGTCGAAATTGACTCAGCACCTAACAACACAGAGGCATCAGAAGCACTTTAATAATGATTGAGCCACTGGATTTTAAAAAGCACATCTATTTTAGTTAAGATGGTTAACCACAGCTTTTTCTTCAGTTAAGAGAAATCATCAATATGGTGCCTTATAACATTAAAGGAAAATTAGTTTTGTATTAGACAACGAAAACAATGGACCAAAGGGAACATTTTTGTGTTCCAAGGAACATGAAAATCTAGTAAGGTACATGTAAATGGTGGCTTTCTCCAATGCTTAAGCTCTTTGTGTGGAACTGGGCTAGGAAGTCCTTGGAGATAGGAATTTTACATCCAAACTTTGCATATCATATATATGATGGGAGCCATGGATTTCTACAAGGCCTAATTGTCATTCTTAATATATAATGATCTGCCTTTTAAATTGTAGTTTACAATTTGTATGGTGACCTCAAATGTTTTGCCTATCTCATTGCCCAATGCCCTTGTTGAGAAGTTTATTGCTTATCTTAATTTCCTGTAAGAAAAGTATCCTGATGAGTCCAGAAAACTTCTGTGTTTTGTCAATAGCCATATAGTAACTACAAAGCATATGTATTTAGAATTTTAAATTCTATACCAATAAAGGAGCTCTGGTGGTACATTGCCTAAGGCATTTGACTGCTAACCAGAAAACTGGAGGTCAAACCCACCAGTTGTTCAGTGGAAGGAAGATAGGACAATCTACTTCCGTAAATATTTATTGCCTCAGAAACTCAATGAGGGTCACTATGAGTCAGAATCGTCTTGATGGTAGTGGGGTTGGTTTTGCTTTGGTTGTCAACTTAAGGATATGTTGATTGCTAAAGCAGTATAAATTACATTAAGATGGTTTGAGTGAAGATGAGGTAAAACATTCTGGGAACCATTAGCCCACATAAAATTTTACAGTTGAATTTTCAAGCAGCCTAAGGCCATACTATATTCAGTTCCTACAAGCACAAAAGCAACAGATAAACACATTTATTTATTGTATAGGCTAATGGAGAAGTGAGAATTTCCAGGCATGTAGTCCAGCCACTTCAGGCAGGCTCCATTGGAGTTTTACACCTAGACAAACTGGCCAAGCCCCAGAGAATGACCGGGGTGGGGTGGGGTGGGGGATTCTATGCCAATGGTTCTCAATCTTGACTGTACATCTAAGCGACTGGAGGACTGGAGGAGCCAAACCTCAGATCATTTAAATGCTGTCTGGGGGTATGATCCAGGCTTCAATAGTTTTTAAAGCTCTCCTGAACCATAAGCCCATGGTTCAGGCATGGTTAGGAGCTTCATTTCTGTGTATTGGTTTGCTTACTGTGAAAATAATTGATGTTTTCTGGGACTAGGTTCCAATGTTTGCCTTAACAGGGTGCTGTCAGGCAGCACTGCCTCTTCCAGTGTATGCTTAGATTCCTAGGTCCAGCAGTGTGAGCCCTGTTCCAGAAAGTAAGACTGATGTGACCCACATCTACTAGAATGTTGCAGGCTACTCCCCACCCCACCACACAACTCTTGTCCTGGTATCTGTAAACAGGGCTACATTACCTCAAGAGGGTGCTTGTAAGAGCAAATGCACTGTTTCAAAGAGTGATTTATTTTTCAATATTGCCACGGGCTGCTCTATCAAGACTAACATACTCTGTAAGAGGTCTGGGAATAAGGAAATCTTTCTAGTCCCGCAGTTACGTTTATGGGAGCTCTGCTGGCGTAGTGCCTAAGGCATTGACTGCTAACCAGAAGGTTGGCAGTACAAACCACCAGCCACTCCTCGGAAGGATGACTGGGCAATCTACTTCCATAGAGATACCACCTCAAAAACCTAAGGAGGAGTCACTATGAGTCGGAATCAACTAGACAGCAGTGAGTTTGGTTTTTTTAAGTTACATTTTCATTCTAGTAGTTCTTAGAATGGTCATGGTTTGCATGGCTTAAGATTGAATTTTTATGTTGATGCTATTACATTTTTTAAATCACACTTTAAAAAAATTCCCATCTTTTAAAGAATTTAAGCATTATAAAATTCAGAATTCAAAGCATTATATATGTATTTCGACACTGATGGTTTAAAATGTCATATATACATACACATATATGTATATAAATATCCTAATGGGAGCTCTGGTAGCATAGTGTCTAAGACACTTGACTGCTAACCAGAAGGCTGGTGGTTCAAACCCACCAGCCACTCCTTGGAAAGAAGACGGGACAATCTACTTCTGTAGTGATACTGTCTCGGAAACCCAAGGAGGGGTCGCTATGAGTGGGGTACGACTTGACAGCATATAACAACAACAAGAAGTATTTAATAAATGTATAATGTAGACAACAGGTTTGTTTGGTTTTTTTCCTCTAATTGAATTTGTTCTCAAAATATGATCTGATTTGCTAACTGAGGTACTATGTTTTTAAAGTTAAACCCTAACTGTTAAGATAATAAAATTCTTGCCACATTAAATCTCTGGAAGCGAAGCCTAAGTTAGACAGGGTCGCTGGATCCCTTTTCAGCTTCTCAGAATTTACTGTTTCTCCTTTCTGGGAGCTCTGGTGGCATAGTGTATAAGGCATTTGACTGCTAACCAGAAGGCTGGAGTTTAAACCCACCAACCACTCCTTGGAAAGCAGATTGGGCCATCTACTTGTGTAGTGATATCACCTAGGAAACTCAAAGAGGGGTGGCTATGAGTTGGATCTGACTCCACAGCAGTGAGTTTGGGTTTTTTGGTTTGTTTGTTTGTTTCTAAACTACAACCAAACTCACTGCCGTCAAGTCAAAACTAACTCATACTGACCCTTCCTTGGGTTTCTGAGGTGGTATCTCTACAGAAGTAGATTGCCTAGTCTTCCTTTTGAGGAGTGGCTGGTGGGTTTGAACTGCCAGCCTTAGGCACTACGCCACCAGAGCTCCTAAGCTACAACAGTGGATGGCAAATAAAGAAAGCCCATAAACAGAAAGCAAACTTGAGCCTCCTAATAGTGTTTTTACAGTGCAGTGCTGATATATAAGCCATTTTTAATTTCAAAGAAAAATAAAGATTATTCATTTGGAGTCTCCAAGTTCTGACATCCCAAAAAAGCAGTGTGTGTGGTCTCAGTCTTTCTACAGAAATAAGTTGTTGTTGTTGTTGTTATGTGCCGTCAAGTCGGCCCTGACTCATAGTGACCCCTCCTTGGGTTTCCACCGCCAGCCGTCTGGTTAGCAGGCAAGTGTCTTAGCCACTATGCTACCAGAGCTCCCCAGAAATAAGTTTGTGTGTACCATTTTTTTACATTGATAGAGAACCACTGGGGAGATCTTTATGTATAATTTTACATCTGTGTCAGTATCCCTTTCTTAAGCAGCCATTAAGACTTCCAGCACCACTAAACTTGCCTGTCCAATGACAAACTAGAGGTGACTACAGGGCTGCACCTACAGTAAAGCTTTCTCATGAAAACAAAGGGTTAGTACAGAAAATACAATGGATTATCTCAAATTGGACTTTTGGTTTCCAATCTAAATTGGGCCAAATTTTATTTAAATTCATTTAAAACAGAAGGAAATTTATTTAAAACTAAATTATTTATTTAAAATTGAAGGAATCTGTCATGGACAGAAATTCCCCATATAATGTAAGTTAGAACTGACTTCTGCCTTAAACATTTGTATTCCACATCTCTAGTATAAATAGGAAAGAAATTACTGAACCATTTTCCACATTTGGTAATATTGTGATACATTCCTTTTCAACTCAAGTAATTTGTGAAATTATTTATGGTCACCAAAAACTGACTTCAGTCAAGTTCCTCTTCTCATTAGAAACAAAGTAAAGTCGAAGGTGAGGTCAGTAGGAGATTCACCCAAGAGAG